CGTATTCCCTCATGACTCTGAGATGCACCTCATCAGGTCCCAGAGACTTGTCTATGTTCAGGTTCCTCAGGTGATCTTGAACCTAATCTTCACTTACAGTGGGAGGAACCTTGCCCCCTCGGTTCCCGTCATGTGATCCATTTACTTGGGAGGTGTGAGGAGTGAGGTTGCCGGTGAAGACTGAGGCAAAAAAGTTGTTAAGTACCTCAACCGTCTCATCTGTTGTTACCAGCTTCCCAGTTTTGGTCATCAGATGGGTTGTGCTTTCTTTAACCTTTCTTTTCTGGTTGACATACCTAAAGAAGCCCTTCTTACTATTCTTTGCCTCCCTTACCAAGTTCAGCTCCAGCCGAGCCTTGGCCTTCCTGACCCCATCCCTACACAACTGGCCAGTGTCCCTATACTCTTCCCAGGATACCAGTCCCTGCTTCCACTGCCTGTGCATTTCCTTTTTGCCCTTTACTTTGACCATCAGGTCATGGCTCAGCCATGCCCGTCTTTTCCCTTCCTTGTCTGATTTCTTACACCTGAGGATCGACAGTGCTTGCGTTCTATGGAAAGTGTCCTTAAAGAACTGCCAACTCTGCTCTGCTCCCTTGTCCCTGAGGGCAGTTTCCTAAGGGATCCCATTGACTAACTCATACTTTGACCATCAGGTCATGGCTCAGCCATGCCCGTCTTTTCCCTTCCTTGTCTGATTTCTTACACCTGAGGATCGACAGTGCTTGCGTTCTATGGAAAGTGTCCTTAAAGAACTGCCAACTCTGCTCTGCTCCCTTGTCCCTGAGGGCAGTTTCCTAAGGGATCCCATTGACTAACTCATTGAAGAGCTGGTAGTTGGCCTTCCTGAAATTCAGGGTCCTGACTATATTCCTCATCTGACCCTTATCCCTCAGCACTGTGAACACTGCAGCCCAGGCTGCCTCCAATCTTGACATCACTCATAAGCTCACTTGCATTGGTGACCATCAGGTCCAATGTCTGTGCATAAATCTTGTAACTGCATTTACTGTGGTCAGCACAGATCTAAAACCATAAACTGCATCTGTGTAAGGCCTAATTGAAGAGGTCTTCACTGGGCAGTGCCTACACAGTTCAGTAGTATTCAGAAGTTGATGAGGGCAAAACCATACTAAGTGGATCATTCTTTTGGTAAAAGGGAGTTTCTACAATGAATTCAATCAAGTCATCTGGAAAGATCCAGGGAAGGGAAAACGTTGGTGTTAGTAGTAAGAGTAAGTATGGAGGAAAAGCATATCTTATCTTAATTGAGGCAGCGTGTGGTGTTTTTTTTCTGTGTTTTTTTTTTTCCCCATAAACTCTGCTGTTCTTAATGTAGTTAGATGGGAAGATGGCTTGCTTTTTATTTTTATGTAAGAGGGATTGTATGTGCTAATCTGAAGGCTAACTGGTCAACTATTTGTTATGTATTAAACACTTCTGGTTTTTTGGTATTTGTGCTTAATTTCCTCTGCATTTTCAAAAATGGAACGTACAACCTTTTTGCTGATACCAATATATACACTGGTATTTTTTGCATAACTTACTTTGAGTATTTCCTGCTATTATTATATGCAGTTATTTGGTTCATTATAGGTACCCACAGGAGATGGGGGTTGAGAAGAGGTTTTACTGAAGATCCTGTCCCTCTTTTTAATTCTAAATCTGGTCTTTAAAAAATTTAACTGAGGACTTCTGCCTTTGGATTATTGGCAGTGGGGCTTAACAGCCTTGGGGTTAATAACCAGTTCTATGAGTGATTGTTCACATGCATGTTCCACTGTCTGGGCAGAAATATTTTCGATAGTGGTATCAACCCTGCATGTTTTCTGAGTACTTGTATTTCCTGTGGAGATTTTGAGGACTAGGAAGTTTCTAAAAATGAGTATTTACTTAGCAAGCTTAGAGACATTATCTGATTTAAGCTATTAGGTGTGTTTGACGTGAGTATTTTTATTTTATGAACTTTGTATATTTGAGAATGTTGTCAAAAGTAAGTATTTTGAAGTAAACCTTTGAGCAATCTGATGTAGTGAAAGATGTCCCTGTGCGTGGCAGGGGGCTTGGACTAGATTATCTTTGAAGGTCCCTTGCAACCCAAGGAAAGAGTATGTGCTTTTAAAATATTACTGTCTTTCTAGTAATCTCCAGCAGATATAACATTCCTATTTTTTTTATTAGAGTAGCTGACAATGCAGTTTTAAGTTTGTTTGTTAGTGTGAATGTGCAGTTTGAATTTTGTAGTTAAAGTTTTGCTACCCTATTGCTAGGTTTTGTTATGAACATAAAAGTGATTATATGTATTGAGGATAGAAGGTTCATGAAGTAGAAGGGTTGTTGAAAAAAAAGAAAAATTGAGGTGCAAATAAACCTTGCTAGAATTTGAAGATGTCTTTACTCCCCAAATAGTAGTTTTTGCTGTGAATAAGATTTCCATGCATCAAGCAGCATGGAGGAGCAGCTAGAGACTCTCCATCCATATTAATAAATTGCTGCATGAAGGTGTAATAGAGTTGTTTCAACTTTTATTACATGTCTGCCTGTGTTAGAGAAATGTAAAGCACATAGGATCTTAGACACTTTTTCTATTATTGAGCATATATCTACATGTAAAGGCTTGTTTTTCGCAGCAGTGGCCTGCTTTCATGGATAGATCTGAAAAATAGTCATTCCTTCCCTTGTGATGATAGGTTCTAAAAAGATAAGTCTGAAGACACACACTAATTTCATCTATATGCTTCTTAGGTCTTTGAAGAAACTGGGTTTGACATAAAAGATTTTATCTGCAAAGAAGAATATATTGAGCTGCGAATCAATGATCAATTAGCACGACTGTACATCATTCCAGGAGTTCCGAAGAACACAAAGTTCAACCCCAAAACTAGAAGGGAAATTCGGGTATGTGTTATCTTGTTTAAATCTATGGCAGGCTTGTTGTGGAGCTTGAGTTTTGAAGGTAATGATCTGTAAAATAATGAAACTACCAAGCATGAGGAATACCTCAAGTACTAGGTACAAATGGCACCTCTGCACTGTAGGGTCTTGTCAGCTTCTTTCAACACTACTGCAAAGACTGTTGACCATCTGTCTGATATCTCCATTCATGATGCAAACAATAGCAGATCATGCTGTCAGACTATAGTTGTCCCCTTCTTTTCCTTTAGGTGGTGTATGTGTTAATCATTTCATGTTAATTCTAGTTATAGCTGCATATATAACTATATATTCTTCTGAAGATGTAAGTACTAATTGGTGATACACAAAAGCCTACATATCAGAAGGAGAAACTAAGCATTGTGTTCTCTCTTTCATGACTAATACCATCAAGACTTAGAGAATAGTATATTTTAAGGAGGAGATTGGGAAGGCGACGCAAAAGGGGAACTATTTTGGATGGTTTGTGTACCATGAGCCTTTTAAAAGGTATTGTGAAAGGGAGAAGCAAAGACTCAGGTAGCAGACTTGTTGGAAACTTTATTCCTGATACCTGTAAACTTTGAAGTTTGAATATCTTTCTTGTATTGCAGTTCAGTTTAAAACAGCCCCATATTTTCATGCAGCTTGTAGTTGACTAGACAGAAGTGTCTTAATTTCTTGCATTAGAGACCTGCTTTTCAAAATACGAAGTAAAAGAAGATGAACTCTGTTTTTTTTTTAAATGTACAGTAATTACCCCTCTTTGTATAACAGTGAGCATCTGTGTGCGGGTGATGAAGAGTTATTACAGAGACTGATTTTTGTCTCCCTGCTGAAGCACCATCTTCATCTGATCTAATATAACTGGTCTTGCCATATTTGTATTCCCTGTAGAACTATATTGAAAACCTGTTCAGTTGGTAACTCCTTTCCGTAATACGCATCTTATCTGGACCTGGGGTTTTGGGGCTAGGTTGTCTGCTCATGTGGATTCTTCTACACTGTGTATATTCATAATTCCTGATTTTGTTCCGCATTCTGCAAAGTATACAGTTTTAATAGTTAAAACTATAATGTAGAAATTATAACACAAATTATATCCTTTACCCATGGTTGTTTTTTTTTCTTTTATAACAAGAACTGAAACTGCCTCTGCAAAATAAATCTTTCTGATAATTTTCGAACTGGTATTAGTCATCTAGTTTTGATGGCGTTTTAAATAAAAATAGCAAGAATAGTAGTGGCTTTGAAAGTTACTTAAAACCTCTAACTTTATGGCATTCAGTCTGCAGTGGTTTGGTTGGTTGGTGTTTAAAATCCTTGTTCAGAATTCAATTGCTTGATAATACCTTTCATATTTTAGGTGCCATATCTTGTACTGAGTACGTGCTGTACCATCTGTTACTCTGTAGTTGCAGTCAGAAGAATAACCCCATTGTCAGTTAACCTTTTGTGAAAACCCTGTTGTGGTCCATTAATTAAAGTCTTCCATTGTAATTTTTTAATGAAGGGATATAATTGTGGTTGATACACATTTGTAACATCCCATAAGGCTACAGTAATGGGTATTTTGATTTTATTGCTTGTTTTTCTAGAATATTGAGTGGTTTTCCATCGACAAATTACCATGCCACAGAAATGACATGACCCCGAAGTCCAAGCTGGGTTTGGCACCTAACAAATTTTTTATGGCAATTCCCTTCATCAGGTATGTTTGAGATGAGGCAAATGCTAGGCCAGTGCCTTTCAGACAACTTTAATTTCTTTAGATTTGTTAATAAGTAGATCTTCTTGCACTTCTCCTTGCTCACAGACCATTGAGGGAATGGATTTCCCGAAGAAATGGAGATTCCTCAGATAGCGACAATGGAATTTCATCTGCAGGGAGCACACCCTCTAAGCCCAACTTGGAAAAAGCTAGGTAAGAACCAGGTCAGTTTAACACCTCTATATCCTTTCTGTAAAACATTGGTCATATGTCCTGGTTTTGGCTGGGATAGAGTTAATTTTCTTCCTAGTAGCCGGTACAGTGCTGTACTTTTGGATTTAAGGTGAGAATAACGTTGGTAACACAGTGATGTTTTAGTTGTTGCTAAGTAGTGCTTACTCTAAGTCAAGGATTTTTCAGTTTTCCATGCTCTGCCAGCAAGTGCACAAGAAGCTGAGAAGGACCATAGACAGGAGAGCTGACCCAAACTAGCCAAAGGGATATTCCATACCATAGAACGTCATGCCCAGTATATAAACAGGGGGGAGCTGGCCGGGAGGTGCTGATCACTGCTTGGGGATGGGCTGGGCATCAGTCATAGGGTGGTAAGCAATTGCATTGTGCATCATTTGTTTTTCTTGGGATTTACTCCTCTTCCTCTCTCCCTTTTCATTACAATTATTACTATTATATTTTATTTTATTTCAATCATTAAACTGTTCTTAGCTCAACCCATGGGTTTTACCTTTTCCAAATCTCCTTCCCATCTCCCCTGGGAGTCAGAGGGGGTTGGTGAGTGAGTGAGCGGCTGCGTGCTACTTAGTTGCTGGCTGGTGTTGAATCACAACATCATGCAAAGCTGCTTGTCCTTTGTCTTTCTGCAACTATTTGTGTTCCATTAATAGAATGGGTTAATAGAAAAAAAAAATTGTGGGCATATCTCATAGGATGAGTAAATAGGATGAGAAGTTAATTGATGGCATGATACATTTTTTTGGTAAATTCTCCCGTGTCAGAACTGAGATAATTTCTTGAGCCCTGTCGATGGGAATCCAAAAAGCAGAAGCTAAAACAAGTAGATAACTTTCAGTGCTTCAAGTCCAATGCTTTTGGCACTCCCACAGAGGAAAAATAGGACTCTGTAAAGTAGGACTGTAAAGTACTATCAGAAGTAGCTAGTTAGATAAAACCTTGGCGAGGGTTAGTAGGGGAAAAAGTGCTGCTGGCTTTTGTTTCAGCTGAACTAAAAGGGGTAGAGCAAACTTTAAAACATGTAGTCCCAAAGAGAAGGCTATGCTCCAGTAATTCTAGTCAGGTCAGGACCAACACTGACAACAACAGGACACAACAGGACAAATGTTAATGTAGACCTAGCCTGCTGTCTATGCAGAACATAGGTTTCCTACCAGCAGGCAAAACAAAGGTGGGTGAATGCAGTGAACATTATTACAGTTTTCACAGGAGGTTACTTAAGCTTGTCTTCCAGGTTGTTCTCAAAAAGCAGAAAATTATTTCATATTTCTCTTCTGCTATCAATAGGTCTGAAGTGTTGTAAACTGTTTGTTTTCCTGTATTAGATCCAAACTTTGCTGTAGTCAGCAGGTGTTTACAGATAGCTTTTCAGGAGAGCAGTGGGTGAAGCCAAAACAGCCACAGAAGCCATATAATCATCCTGAGATGTCTGAAGTTTTGAAAATAAAGGTACGTTGTTTATTAGGCAAACATATGCATCTGGACTATTTAAAACAGATGTCCTTTTGTTCATAAGGGTTCCTCTGTGGAATGAAAATACTGAATTTTATCACCGTAGCATGCAAAAATAAAAACATGGGGGAAAAAATCTTGGGAATTCCCAGATTTATCTGACATTAGAGGTGGTGGGTATCAGATGGTAATTGTGTTGTTTCAGGTATAGATATTATTGGTATTCCCCATGTACCATTTTGTAATATTTTGAGTACCACTGGTATATATGCATCAGTGTATGGGAACTCACTGAACTGAATTTATCATGTAATACAGTGTCTGTAATACTGCAAGAGAGACTGAGTAAGAGCTGATGACTCTGTAACTTGAGTGTACGTTTGGTTAATTTCAGTGTGCTTCTGTTTGTCTACAAAAGATACTGTTTACATGTCTTGACATTATTTGGAGTAGTTTTAACTAGCAAGTGTGAAGTGTCGGTGCAATGATGTTCAATATTGCCATTTAAACTCTTCTCTTTATTACATTTTGGACTTAATGGCAGAGTCAGAGCTTGAGGAGCAATGGCAGAAAGCAGTATCAAGACATTTCCAGCCAAAAGAAGCGAACAAATGGAGTCCACAGTCAACCAGTTAAGCAAAATCATACCTTGGTAAGAAACATGCAGTGGCAGTCATTAACAGGTTCTAGTAATGCTTAACAAATGTCCAGGCCAATGTTTTAAAGAAAGAGACTGCATGTCTGTCAAAACTATATTTGATCAGAGTATTTGGTTTGTATTTGTAGAAATTTGACATTTCTTACCTTGTATGCATATACATCTATAGACAAGCATGCTAAACTTCAAAGTTTGCATTTTGGAAGTAATTCTTATTTTAGCAGTTGAAAGTTTGTCAGCTGTTTCAGTAGACAATCCTGCAGCTTTCCAGGTTCTTGTCAAGTAATAGCCTACTGTAGTGTGGCATAATAAGTCAGTGTAGTACATGTCTTATTCATGTATGTTATATTATTGTAAGCATGGAGTTCTGTTATACAACAATTAGATACAAAGTGGTAATGCATGTGCTTATTATTTCCCTTCTTTCTAGCAAAAAGTAGAGATGCAGACTTGACTTGAATGCCAGAATCTACTATAATTTTTTAATCATACAGTAGAACCACAGCCATTTGTAAATTCCAGAATGGCATTCTTGGTTTGTTACGTTTTCCTTGCAGTAACTAATTGTCTTTGACCCCACAGTTCTGCTGGCTGGGAGAACGCTCACTAAGATCTCTCTCTTTTTAAATATAATGTCTTTTTGACAATGTGCCCCCACACTGTTCTTTATGGCTGTCCAATTCTACTTTGTTGGCTCTTGTGCAGCAGTGAGCTCCAGTTTTCCATGCAGCTCAGCTAGCTTGTCCAGGCTTTAGTTTTTCTTGTTTACTGGCTGTAAGCTAGATTCTTCCCATTCTGGCTTGTGGTCATTACCTGCTCTCTGTTTTTCATGTGAAAGTGCAGAAACCATAAACTCTTGTCCTGTAAAATCCTCACTGTGGCAAGCAATGGTTAGTTGTGTTTGGGTCTGAGAGTAGAAGAATGAAAAGTCAAAGAATTGACTGCCCAGAAATTTGGCTCTATGGAAAAAACTGTAACAGGAATCTGTAGGATCTTGATGGAAACAAGTAGAACTGTTGAAAATCCACAGTTACTTTGTATGCTCTTTATAGACTGCTGAATACTTCTGTGGTATTTCATTTGCATTTCCATGATTGTCAGTCTTTTCAAGTTTAAATATTTCATGTCCCAGTGATAATTTTCTAATACAATTTGGAGGCCAGGGAACTCTTAATTTGCACAGAGGGCCATACTTTTCTCCATATTTGTATACTTACAGTAGCACCTGGGGCTAAAACTTAACTCTTCCCTGGAGAGTTCTAAGTTTGTGTCTCTAATGCATGCTAATATTTAATTGGTAGTAGCAGCGTGTTTGCAAATAACATAGCCCTTGCTTTTTGGGACAAGCCAATTGAAGCACAGACATATGCATGTGCAACTTTGATGCCACACGATCACATGCAAGACCTTTTCAGCTTAAAACATCTAGCAAGCACACAAAATTTTTCTCTAAAAGGCTGCATTTTAAAAATGGTTTGTTGACTGTTAAAAGGTTGCATGTTTCTGAAAGACTTGTGGACCTGAAGCATGCTTACTGGATAAAGTAACATAACAGAATTCATGCTGAGTTATAAGTAAAGTAATTCACACATCAGGAGGTGTGTCAAAGTAAATATAACTAGCATATCTTGTAGCTGATGTTTAAGCTCTACCGCTAAGAAACAGAATGCCATTTCTTTATGAAGTGTGTAATGTATGGTCATTCTCTTAACCAGAAATGTGAAAAAAGGCTTAATCCAAGAAGACTTCAAGATAACTTTGAAACAGGCAAGTACAGTCTGAATTTTCATCTATTGTCATGCATTACAGGCTGAAGGCACCTGAATAATAATGGCTGAGGGTTTTTCCTTGTATGCTAACCTACTAAATGTTATAAAGCCATATTTTTCTAAGGCAGTCTGAGTTTTGTTTTTTTTTTTTTAATTTGGTTAACTTCATGTGCTGCTTCATGTTGGTTTTGCAGTTCTTCTCCTTAATTATTAATGCTGTCAGATTATACTAGGTTGCTGAGTAAAAAGTAACTGAAAGCTGGTTTAGGAAAATAGCATCTAAGTCAACACAATGGTAGTAATTGAGTGTTAGTTCAAGGCTTTCTGTGCTGCTAGTAATAAGCTGCAATTCTGGAGAGTGCACACCGTTCTTTACTTACTGCTCAGAAAACGGAGACATATTTCTTACCTCTTTATTAAGAAATGACTTGCAAAACAGCACCCGTGGGTAAAATTGGCTATTGAAAGTGTCTCCAGATTGCTGTGACTTTTAAGATTTGTTCTAGCCTCTGGATGACTTGTAAATATGGCTGTTTCAGTTACCTTTTTCTGTTTATGACCAGACATACAGATTTTGTCATGAATATTAAGTGAATATACATTTGAAGGTATGGCTTTGTATCATTATTAATACTTTTATTGATAACTGTTTAAAATTTGTTTCATGCTTTTTTCTCTTTAAGCAGATGCAGCATATGAGATGTGTTGCTCCAGTGAAGATCCACTGCCAGAACATGTAGAGGGACATTCTGTGGCATGCCATGGCCGTTACAAATTTGCTTTCTCATCAAGAGCTTTCTTGAGTTTCAAGTTTGACCATGATGCCATAATGAAAAGTTTTGACCTCTGACAGCAAACTTAATAGGGACAAATCAGACTTGCCTGTTGCAATTGAGGGGGTTTCTTATCCAGCCTTACTCTTTCTCAGGAGTTGTTTTGTTTTGTTTGTTTGTTTTTAAATGCAATGCAGGGACTGACTTGTGGTTTGGAAGGGTTTGTTCTCTTTGCAGTATGGGAGTGGCATAGTCAAGTGTTGCACTTTAAATGCAGTATAGCCTTTGTCCACAAAAGTACCTTTCCAGTGTTCAGTTCACTTGTTCCTAGCTGTGCATTAGAGGGCATTCTTTTTTCTTTGGATTTTTTTTTTTTGGGGGGG